GATGCACTGCTACATTTCTCCAAATCTGATGAAGAAACAAACTCATCCTAATCTTGGATGAACTGAGGGAGTCATTTTTGGGGTAACTATTTTTTAAGAACTAATTCAAACAACACAAACAATATACAGTCATCAATAGTCTTGTTACACTTACCCATAAGGCCGTTGGAAAAACGTAGGGTGTGTTTGAGGGACACCAAATGAAAAGCCTGTGAAAAAAAACACAATCTTATAGCATTTATTTATTTTTATATTTCAATAATACAAGAAAACACATCTGTGACCCTGGAGCACAAAACTAGTCGCTGGGGTATATTTGTAGCAATAGCCAACAATACATTGTAAGGGTCAAAATGATAGATTTTTCTTTTATGTCAAAAATCATTAGGATATTAAGTAAAGATCATGTTCCATGGACAACTTTAAAGATGATTTTCTTAATATTTAAATTTTTTTGCACCCTCAGATTCCAGATTTTCAAATATTGTCCTATCCTAACAAACCATACATCAATGGAAATATTATTTATTCAGCTTTCGGATGATAAATAAATCTAAATTTCGAAAAATTGACACTTATGACTGGTTTTGTGGTCTAGAGTCACATATAATGACCAAAATAGACATTATTTTCACAATAAAACAAGAGCAACTGGATCCTCTTACCTGGCTGCATGATCCGTGGTTTGGCCCCGAGGTACGCCAGGTTGACGTTGGCTTTCCTGCCGTCGATGATGGGGTTTGGGTCCTTACAGGCTCTTTCTGCTGCGGCTCGATCGGACATCGTCACCTACACATACATGATAAGACGAACAAAAACACAAATTCAGTGTTTTCAGTGATGATCCATGTGAAAAACTGAAACTAAAACCATTAAAAAAATGTCACTGCTTGAAATAAAATAAACATTCAAATTAAATATTAAAAACTTTTTAGTTCTGCTAGTAGCCAAGGCTACTATTAAAAGCCACATTTATTCTAATTTAGTGGACCTTGATGCACTAAAATAACTAAAACTTAAATAAAAATTATAACTATAAATATATATATATATAGAGAGAGAGAGAGAGAGAGAGAGAGAGAGAGAGAGAGAGAGAGATAGACACACACAAAAATTGGAATGATCTTTACCATGTTTTGCTTCTTAACTCTGGGCCATGGGTTTAATTCCCTGAATACAGTACGAGTTCCTTTAGATAAGTGCATTTGGAAATGCATACATTTATTTTATGATGTTCCAAGGGCGTTCTTGACAGTATTCTGAGTTTCTGTTGCAGATGTTCACTGCCTCAATCCAACACAATGGCCTAGTGACCCAGTATCTCAACATGATAATGTAGGTCAAAGGTCAGACTCAGAGTTTGACAACTTACTGTTTGGGAAGAGATTAAATCAGCCAGTCAAACATAACAGTCAGCACAACATGCTCTAGTCAAAATGCACACCTTTTTTGCTTTAAAAAATGTTTTGGTTGCCTTGCTTTTGTCAAAATCTGAATACTTGTGGTTTGAATGCGGTTGTGCAAAGTTACAGTGTTCATTTTTTTCTAGTCAAACTACATTGTGGTTCGACATTATCAGTGTAAAATCTAACATAAAAAGTATAAAAAGTTAAGCAACAAAGGCAGAGACATTGTTTATGTTTTAGTGCTATTATTTTATTTTCCATACCATGATAAATGAATAGTTCGCTCAAAATTTTAGGAGCAAACCTCTCAAATCAACTGAAAAACCACCAATAATGTCATGCAAAAGAAGAACACGCACACAAAAGTGTTTGTAAACTTTCTGTATTCTACAACATCTTTGTACCAGCATCTGCAGAGATACAATATAAATACAATTCTGTACATTTTATAATATTGTAAATACTATGTTCATACATTTTATGTACAGCTCCTTGTCTCAGCACAACATGCTCTAGTCAAAATGCACACCTTTTTTGCTTTAAAAATGTTTTGGTTGCCTTGCTTTTGTCAAAATCTGAATACTTGTGGTTTGAATGCGGTTGTGCAAAGTTACAGTGTTCATTTTTTTCTAGTCAAACTACATTGTGGTTCGACATTATCAGTGTAAAATCTAACATAAAAAGTATAAAAAGTTAAGCAACAAAGGCAGAGACATTGTTTATGTTTTAGTGCTATTATTTTATTTTCCATACCATGATAAATGAATAGTTCGCTCAAAATTTTAGGAGCAAACCTCTCAAATCAACTGAAAAACCACCAATAATGTCATGCAAAAGAAGAACACGCACACAAAAGTGTTTGTAAACGTTCTGTATTCTACAACATCTTTGTACCAGCATCTGCAGAGATACAATATAAATACAATTCTGTACATTTTATAATATTGTAAATACTATGTTCATACATTTTATGTACAGCTCCTTGTCAAGGAGAGCAGCTGTTTTCTTTTAAGTAAGGTCTTGGGTTTTCATTTTACCGTCTCCATTGACAGCAATAGTATTCACTTCTTACGAGATCCACAGTTCTTCAGGTAAAACAGCAATAATAACAGCACTGGTCATGGCACTAAACATACTAGCATTATTCAGGCTATGTCCCAATTTCCCCGATATTGCCCATCTCCCATTTATACCTATAAAAAACATTAATATTGGCTTTAGTATCACAAACTAATAAAATCTTACTCAACAGTCAAACACACATGGATTTAAATGCTCGAAAACTTCATTATTAGGCAGGTGAACCTAGAAGTCGACTATCTAAAAAGACCCTGTTCATGAACAGGGCTTGTGTCAGTACTTTAGGGCATATAGCCGATACGAAGCAGACCGGGTTATCTGCGTTTTGCAATAACGCTCCCTACCGGTAATGGTCTGATAAAGAAAACATGGTGCTCTCCGCATTAGGTGACCTCACTTCCGTCAACCTCCTGAGAAGCGTCAAATCAGTATCTGAGAATGCGTAAAAGTCTGTGCATTACATAACTTAATGTGCATCCAGGATAAGTTACTCCAGTGCAAGCGTTCAGACAGCTCTGTTAATAGAAATATTGGCAGTCCTTCAACAGTTACAGTACTCAACAAACCAGTAACGCAACAGAGTACGAGCAACTGGATTGCCGTCCAATCAAAATACCATTAAATCTCAAAAAAACTGACCACAATTTTGAAGTTCTGATGGGCATGTGGCCTTTCAACTAGAAATATGGCACTTAGCATAAATCAGTCGAACACATATACATAAAACACAAGCATGAAACACATTGCCAAAGTAATCTACGTAAGAAGTTTGCACAGCAGATTTGAAAGGCAATGTCTTTGGTAATACCTGATATAATCACGCAAACAAAAAGGTCATAAACAGTAGTACATTCTTACCTAGAACACGCATCCAAATCTCAAACTCACTCAAAGTAGTGTTAGGCAATGTTTGATTAATACATTTAGTCATATAAGAAGTGGTAACCAAGTAACCAAGAAGGATGTTAGTATTACAGCTGTACATGATATATAAAACAAGTTTGTGCAACTGTGCAACTCTCGACATTCAAAGATGATACTGAAATAGGCCTATAATTTCAACAAGACACACAGGTAGGGGTTATTGCCATGGAATCAGGGGAACCAAAAAATCTCTAACGAATCAGAAGGATGGATTCTGTTAGCACTTGGTTTGTCCAGGCAGTGGCTGGTGCTGGTGTTGAAGAGATCATCTACCAACTATTTGGGTCACTGTCCTGCTCCTACAGGTTGAGGTTCGGTGTCTATGGACGGAGGCCCTCGAGTCAAACAGGATGGCTTCACGAAGACGCCATGACCTGTGGCACATCGGAAGTACACCCTTCCTTGGACCGTACCGTTGTGCTTGCCTTTGGAAGGACAAGAAAGGTCTAGGGTTACAAGGAGTTGAGTTGGGATTCAGCAACAAAGAGCAAGAAAGGGAAAAGTTCACTTACCTACAGCAAGGTCCAGCTCTACTCCAACCCAGATGCCTTTGGCAAACTCTACCCCTCCAACGTAATGCACCGTCCCACTCCGTTTGCCCACCCAAACTTGCTCACCGGGGGCCATCCAGTCTGGCAACTGAGCAACTGGTCCATTCTCGTCCTTACTAGAGTCTGCCAAAGGTTCTGCATCCTCAAAGGACTCAAGTCCTTGAGTTGCTTCTAGCTGTGGCTTGGCATGAGGTACTGGGATACTGGGAGACTCTTTCCCATTGTGGAGATGGAACTGGGGTGGAGGATCCATGCCTTGGGTTTTGGCTTGGGGAATCGAGTCTGCCTTCCATCCAATGCTACCAAGATCTTCTCTTATGCCATGACCTACACCCTTAAAGTCTGGGGGAATGGATTCTGCCTTCAATCTGATGTTACCAAGGTTGTCTCTTATGCCATGACCTACACCCTTAAAGTCTGGGGGAACGGATTCCTCCTTCGATCCGATGTTACCAAGGTCGTCTCTTATGCTATGACCTACACCCTTAAAGTCTGGGGGAACGTATTCCTCCTTCGATCCGATGTTACCAAGGTCGCCTCTTATGCTATGACCTACACCCTTAAAGTCTGGGGGAACGGATTCCGCTTTCCATCTGATGTTACTGAGGTCTTCTTCTCCTACACTATCATCTCCACCCTTAAAGTTTGGAGGAATCGATTCTGCCTTCCATTTAATGTTACCAAGGTCGTCTTTTACGCCATGATCTACACCCTTAAGGTCTGGAGACATCGATTCCACCTTCCATTTGATGTTACCGAGGTCTTCTTCTCCTACGCCATCATCTACACCCTTGAAGTCAGTGGGAATCGATTCTGCCTTCCATCCAATTTTACTATGGTCTTCTTCCCCTACACCATCATCTGCACCCTTAAAGTCTGTGAATTCTTGACTGACGCTCAGGATACACTTGCGGGGAAGCCGAGGGGAACAGTCCAGGTCGGTGCAGTGACGGGAACAAGGCTGAGCAGGAATGGTCTGGGCTGGACAGGATCCCGAGGCACTTCTGGAAGGATGCAACCCTCTTCCGTGCGATGCTTCCTGAGGGTCTGGAGGTTCTTTAATGTTGAGCTGGTCGCAACTATCGCTGCCGCTGAAGAGCACGTCGGACAGCGTGGCGTTCGAGGCACTATGAGAGAAGTAGCCACTTGTGCATGTGCTGGCTGTGGGACTACGGGACACTTCTTTTTCCGCAGCCCGTGTCCCTGTTAACACCCCGATCCCGGGTGCCATCTCTCCCTGCACACACATAGCCCCCTCTTGGGTCTCAAGGCTGGTGTTGTACACCTCAAAGTTGGCAAAATCCTCGGGGATGTAAGGCTTGAAGTTTTGGAGCTCCAGAGACCCGAGGCCTGGGTCGTTGGAACGGGTGAAGGCTGAATCCATGTAAGGATCCTCCTCCTCTGAATCCTGACAAATCATCAATGTACATTTTTGCACGACAGGGCAGCTCACTTCTTCTGAATAAGCTGTACATTTATTATTTATTATTACATTTGTTTGCCTCTCTGTGCTATTGATTATAAAAAGTAGTGATAGTTTATTTGCTCTGCAACTAGCAGTGTAATATGTGAAGTGCTGCAGTCAGTGAGTTAAATGCAAGCTGAGGGATTCATGCAGTTATTCATCAATCACATGAAGGTGATGGGATGCAATGAGATGCAAATGGTGCTAAGATGATGACGATGATGAGGCAGCATCATAAGCTTCATTCAATCAGAAACAGTTTTAAAAGGGATGAAATGCAGAAATTCAAACCTCCTGAACAATTTGTTTGTGTATGTATGTAATGAATTTGGTTCTGAGAAGGAATATTTGAAGTTATTTTTAAGCTAATATCAAGGAATCAGCTGTGTTGTATGCTGCCAGTTACTTGTCAATAACTGCAATAACTAAATTTTATTTTTTGAAAATTCTTTGAAGTTCTTCAAAAAGGTATTTTGTAGTATCTTTTATTATTATTTAAATATGTTTTATAATAGTATTATATATATTTATATGTTTTACAAATTTAAATTATATATATATATATATATATATCATTAA